AAACTTGCCCATGATTACAAGAAACTCAGCACGAATTTTGATTTACCTAAATATGTGTAACTTATACTCCAGCCCTATTTACACGCTTGCTGGAATTTGGGAAAGATTAAAAGAAAAAAAAAAGGAAAAAAAAATACACTTTAGCTACTTGTTCAACTCTCACCATGAGAGTTTATTTTAAAGATATACTCCACTGCCAGGAAGGCAACAAAATTTTTATTTTATTGCCCTAAAATATATATTTCTTAATCAGTCATTAAAGTTTAGCAGCAAAGGCTTTAGGAAGATAACTAAACAATCATGAGATGTCAATTCATTGGACACTGAGAAGGACACAGAGCACAGGACCAGAATTCAGAGGCTTCTTATCCAGCCTTGTCTTTTTTTTGCTATTTTGTTCATTTACCAAAGATTCTTGACGACTTTTAAAAATAATAACTTATAATCAACTGTATTTGGTAACTTATGAAAACCACAAATTTTTAGAGATTTGGGTTTTTTTTCAAATTTATAAAAACTGTCATTGCTTGCTTGCATGAAATGTTAACACTGGCAAGAGTGTTTCAATCAAGTTGAAGCCTGTTTATCATCTCTCTTGGCACAGCCTAAATCAAGGCAATGTAATAAACTATCTGGAGAAATGCTCTTCTTACAGTATTACTCTTGGATTCAGATGAAGAAGTTTAGCTTGTGAAAACATTTTGTGTTTATTAGTATAATCTTTGTCCAATCTAGCTATCTTAATAGATCAAATCAATACTTAAAAAAAATCTAAAATATATATATATTCAAAGGCAACAAGAATACATTACTGCGGTTCAGAAATAAAACATCAACAAAAAATTTCCTTTTTCTTTTTAATTTCTCTTTCATAATAATTTTCTTGTTTCAGTCTGGATAATGCTTTCTCTCTTTGTGGCACACCTAGTCCAGTAGACTATGTATATATTTCCCTATTTATAGCTCTGAAAACACACTCACTTAAATATTCTATAACTTACTATAACTCCCACAGAAGCTGTGGGTGAATATTGAAATTGTTTGCTTTACCTTTATAAACTGTTTTATGCTGACAGTGTAACTATGTGACATTCCCTTCTGGTTTTAAAATTCCTGACTAAGTATGAATTTCTAGCACAGGTGCACTTGAAGTAAAAAAGTTGTATTCTGCACACTTTTCCACTGAAATACAGCTATCTTCAAAAGGTAAATTAAATCAGCTTAAAACAAACTATAACCCCAGAGAGGGGAACATTCCCACACTTCAGGTGCTGGTTACAAAATCAGTTTGATGCTTTTTGGGACTGATGCAATAAATGAATGAAGAGATTTCTTTGAAACACAGGAAAGGTTTTGTATGCATTATTTTTATTTTCTGAATCCAGGTTTAGGCTGGTTCTCATTTTATCTGTGCCCTGTTCCCCACCTTCACATGAGTACACACAAAGCGGGGGCTTCAAAGCTGACAGCACTGGCCTAACTCTGTTCTTGTTAAAAACATTGGCAAAACTCCCAGTGGCTTCAACTGCAACAGGATTAGGCCAACTGTGCATACTTTGAAAAATTCACCCAAGGCAATAAATCTAGCATTAATTCACAAAAAAGAAAATCAAACAGAAAAAGGAATTAAGAGATGGAAAAGAAGAATCATCATCCAGTTGCTCAAAGTCCTTTAACAGAAAAATTTCTCTGCTTACATATTGTCGTGTAGGGTCTGTGTGACTGGTACATGAGAAGTAGGCTTGTGTTAGGCTGTTTAGGACTGTGCAGGGAGTGAAGATCCCTTCCCTGGCCACTGTGTAGAAACTGCTGGTAATTCTGCTGTTTAAATGGTACAAGAGCAAGGAGACCTCTGAGATCACAGTTCCAACTCACCCGGCCACAGAACTGTACTGGATCAGGTCAGCACTTCACTGTTTCCACTGCAAAGCATGGGCTGCTCCAGCCTCTAGTGTCTTGAGGCACTTTGCTGTCATTTATTTGACATATCTGCATCCACTTGTTCTCAACTCATCTTGCATGTCTTGCAGTACCTAGTGGGGGGCCTACTAGAAAGCTGGAGAGGATTTTTTTACAAGAGCATGTAGTGATAGGGCAAGGGAGAAAACTTCAAACTGAAAGTGGGTAGATTTAGTTTACATATTAAGAAGAAATTATTTACTGAGACATGGAGTGTGAGGCACTGGAACAGCTTGCCCAGAGAAGTTTGGATGCCCCATATTTTGAAGTGTTCAAGGCCAGGTTGGATGGAGCTCTGAGCAACCAGGTCTAGTGGAAGGTGTCTCTGCCCATGCCGAGTGAGTTGGAAGTAGATGTTCTTTAAGGTCCTTTCCAACACAAATCATTCTACGATTCTATGATTTTCATAATCATTTTATCACTTATTTGCCTGTGCCTGTCTTTGAATTACCTCCTTTATGTTGTTTAGTGGTTTGGTGTGGGGGATTTTTTGGGTTTTATTTTTTTGTTTTGTTTTGGGTTTTTTTTGTTGTTGTTGTTTGTTTGTTGTTAGGGTTTTTTGCTTGGTTTCAGGGGTTTTTTTTGTTTGTTTTCTTTTCACTAGGGACATGAGTCTTGGAGAAATGGGACCAAAAAATGCAATGGCAAAATAACTTTGGTTTGAATGTTGTTCGGATTGGATTTTTGCCATCATTGCACTGAATACTAGAACCTTGACGTGAACTTTTTCCATTCACCTTTAATATCACAACAGCCTTTGCCATCTTCTGTGCAGCCACGAAGTAAGTAATGTTCAAAGCATTGACAACACTTTTTCACTAAAAGACAACTTTGGAAATTGTCCAGACTCTTAACTTTCACAAATGGTTGTGATTTCTCACCTTCACAAAGTGACTTGCCTCTCACAGTTGCTGACTTTGTGGCCAGTATAGATTGGTGGTATTTCCCCCTTCAGTGTTCATGAACTCCTCATTCTGCCTTGGAAAAGTAAAAGGGCTTTACATAGACCTACAAAGTTCCATTATCATTGTGCAAGGATTTGTTCTTATTTTTAAAGGAGAGCATTCACACCTTCTCCTGACATCTTGGTGGAAAAAAAAATATATAAAACAAACATGTTAGTACATCTCAGACACCTAATTGTGATTTTTATTTCAACCAATATTATTATGTGAATCTCAACAAATTTTGTTTGCAAATTCTTCCATTCACCCTTTATGGTATGAGGAGCTGGTTTTGGGGTTTGAAATAGTAAAATATATGATTCTGGCATCCCTTTTTAGCAACCAAGACCTTCAAATTTGCATTGCTGTAGATTCAAAGCTTTATATTCTTTTTCTGGCCTCATATCAGCATCATTTTTGCACAATTTCGTGACTGTAACTTGGATTAATGTACATTTGCAATGTGAAAGAAAATTCCCGATGCATGTAAAGAACAAACAGACTGAGAGGGTGTTTGGAAGAATGCCATTAGTCTATCTGAAAATGACCTAGGAGTTTGATGCTCACGCAGAAACTACAACTGGTGTTTTTGGCAAAGAAATGCTGCTAACTAGATTTTTGTGTCTAGATCTGGGGAATTTATTGATTTGCAGGGTTCACTGGCAGATCTACAAGAATTCATTTTGCATGAACCTGGAATGAACTGTATAGCCAAATGAAAAGTAGGAAAAATAATAATTTTTTATTGACAACAAGTTTTAGGTTTTGGGAAGGATAACTTTTTTCCTCATTCATTCTTTCATAAAACTGATTTCCAAATGCTAAGAACTAAGAATAAAGGCTCAAAGTAGGACATTTTTACAGTTTTGAGTCATTTTTTCCTTAAACAGTATACACAAAAAGCAAAAACCACCACCAACAAAACAAAAACAAAACAAACACAAAGAAACAACCAAAAAAATTTGAATCACTGTTATTCAGGAAGAACATTTTGGCCAACTCCATATCTGATATTCTCCCATAATGCTTCTCTTTTTTAATACAGAATGGGAATATGCTGAAATGCAAAACTTAGTGCAAATTCAGTAAAACTGTGCAAAAGGACAAGTCAGCACAGAAGCAAAAAGGAAAACTAGATGATAGGTATGTCCACATCAACCTTTTTAAACCATGCAGAACTGCATTTTTTTTTTTTCCTTTATTTTAGTAAACCCTGGGATACTTCTATTACATCTGATTCTTCCTATGTTCAAAAGTTAATTTTGATCTTGGAGCGGGAAAAAGTAAATTTTGTTAGAACAGGAAATCACATTAGATACAAAATAAATGCACTGTCATTTTTGCTTTTCCTTGATATTCACACTTTTGTTATTTTTATATTTTCTCGATATTCACTATTAATAATTTATATTAGTGATTAATTTAAAAAGCAAAAGATGATCTTATTCCCTAAATAAGCTAGATATCATTATTCCATCAATGACCATTACCTACTTGTTAAACCAAAGGAGCCTGAGATTTAATGGCAACTGTCACACATATACACAAACACAAAATATCTATAGGTTAATATAACAAGTACAGAACCAAAGAAGAATGCTAAAGAGAGAATGAATTGGGGAAGTTTTAGTTTGTTTACAGTTTGTTCACAATTCACATGAGAAATAGAGTGAGGTGCTGCAGTGTAGTAGTCACTTTTATGACAGCCCATGCATAGTCAATGTGAGTACAGAGATAGGTAGTTATGGGACATGGTTTTTTAATTTGTAGAAATGCTAACATCAGTGAGAAGTTTTCCATTGCCTTCTCTGTTGTTTAGGCTATGTCTTAAGGTAGGAGCAGAAGCAGCTAGCAAATTTAACTTTTACTGTCAGCCCTACTTTGAAACAGAGGTTCATATCTAGCCATTGCTGTGCCATGGCTTGTAACAGTGACAATAAGAGTGCTTTCTTATGCTGCACTTTTGCTATCTGCAGTCTTCAGTAAAGATCAGAGCATCCCAAATGGGGGTATAAGACAGACTCTGCAAATCTGATGCTGACTGTAATCTGAAATAATTGCAGTTGCAAGACTCTTCCCGGAACCCAGCAGCACAGTGTGCTAGTGAGCACAGAACAGATACCTGAAGGATGGGATAAATTATGTGGACTGGAGTGGCTGTTGCAGGTGGGAGAGACCACTGGTGAGTATAAGAAGAAAAGGCAGATGAATCAGTACTTGGTTTATGTAATGATTTGGGAAAAAAATCGCAGGCCTGAAGAGCAGATGGACTTTGTTGTGACTTCTGTTAAGTCTGGGTTTCCAAGGTACTGTTGATCGCTTATTGGGGTAAGCATTTCTTTTGAACGAAGTGTCAATTCCCATTCAGAGATGTGAGTGAAATTAGGTGGCATTTTCTGCTGTTATATCTGGATTGTAAAAGTAAAAGGTACATAATTTTGAAAAGACTAAGGTTCACTGGGCTCATTCCTATAGCATTTCCCATGACATCTAAAGCTGACTTTTGGTTCTCCAGATATTCTAAAGTATGTCAATCCATGAAAAACATATTTGAAAAGGATCTTACATTCCTTTTCCAGATCTAAACTTGGTTTCCTGCCAAAGTAGTTTGAAGTAATCTCTTAGCCAGTACATATCTCAGACCTTTGCTTCTGAGCACAAAACACATTATCAGAAGCCCCTGAACTGACCTAGAGATAACATTCCATCCTAGGACACTGGAAGATAAAAATGGATGAGTTTGGAGTTTCCAGATTCCATACAAACAGCAAAAAAGCTGAAGCTTAGAATGTTTGAGCTGAGGTTGAATACATGGATTAAAGAGCAAGATTGATATAAAGAAATAGATATTGTATTTCATGATAACTTAACAAATACCCCAAACAGTCTGGAGGTCTTTGCCTTCCCTGCAGCTATGATGTGATCTCAGGAACATCCAGAAGATCAGTGTGATCTTCACATTCATGTGTGTCCTTACAATTTGTTTTCTTGTAGGCAACAGGAATTTTGTGCAACTACCTAAAACAGTAGTTGCATTGTACTAAGTCATTAGATAAGCTTAGGTACGACTTTGACAACTGTCTTTGCCCATACTCCAGACTGTGATTCTGATCAAATGTCTGGAGTGGGTATATGGGATGCATAATGTCCCTGAAATGCCCTTCGCACTGTAGTGTAGCTGTATATTTTGATTTTCTATTTTTATACAGTGACTTTGTATTTGCTAACTTCATACAAGATTTTGGTCTTAAAAATGCACATAGTCATTTTCTCTGCTGTCAGAACAAGTTCAGACACATATGTTAGAAGTGATTTTAAAACAATGCATTCATTTCATACAACACTTGAATGACTACCTGGCACATATTTGAACTCTATCTGATAACTGTAGCATTTATTTTCATAGTTTCCTTCTTCAAAGTCTAGCACTCTGATGAAGTCCTGACCACTTCATAAAAAGCAAATGATGGCATTAATGTTGCCAGCAGGAGGGTGTAAGCCACAACCATTTGAAAAAAAATGACATAGCTCTTTTTAGCTGAGCCTCTCCCTGGGAGTTGATTGCTACGGAAAAGAGAGGTGAGAATTAGCTGCTTTTACAAATGTCAGCGTTCTTAGAAGGTTCAAGTAACAAGAGGTGCTGAAAAGTATGGCAACCAAATCCACATCTTCTGACACTAATCTTGTCACTTCTGTGACATTCTTGGCCTCTTCTAACCCAGCGTCTGGGAATTTGAGACAATCTTTGGTCTACCACATGTTGGTGCAGAATATAGCTGCTGCAAAATGAGACCAACCTACAAATGGGGAGAAGATCTATTTAAAAATGAAAAATCCCAGCCCCCTCATGCTTCCTTAGCAGAGGCATTTTTAGAACCAAATTTCAGTCTCATACTGACCACTTAATACTTTGTAAGCTGTGTTGCTCATCCCAGACAGGCAGGAATGTTTTGCTGTTTGTTTTTAAAGCCATCATGCATGCCTCTGCTGGGAGCATCTACTCATTCAACACCACTCTGCAGTTCACATTCTCATTCTTCATTTCAGGAAAACTTTGCCTGGGTTTGTTTTAATAGTAGACCATAAGGGAAGTAAAATGGTATGATAATTAATATTCCATTGGCAAAAGCAAGATTAAATTTGCTTAGTTTTGTAAGAACATAGTTGGCCTGAATAAGTGGTGACCTTATATCCCTTGTTGATGGTATCATCTTCCCATTTGGTCTGCATTTCTGAGAGTTTAAATGGGGTAGAGATTTCAAATACTGAGAATTACAGAATGACAGAGTGCTGAATTAGAAGGGAACCACAAGGATTATCAGGTCCAAGGCCTGGCCATGCACAGACCCATGTTCCAGAGAGCATTACCCAAACACTTGTTGAACTCTATCAGGCCGGTGCAGTGACCGTTTCCCTTGGGAGTCTGTTCAGTGCACAGTCATTGTCTGGGTGAAGAACTTTTTCCTAATATCCAACATACACCTCCTGTGATACAACTCTAGGCCATTTCCTTGTGTCCTGTCACTGCTTGCCAGAGATAAGAGATCAGTGCCTGCCTCTCCTCTTCCCCTCATGAGGAAGTTGTGACTGCAATGGGGTCTCCCCTCAGTCTCCTCTAGGCTGAACAGACCAAGTGACCTCAGCCACTCCTCATACGGCTTCTCCTCAAGGACGTTCACCATCTCTGTTGCCCTCCTTTGGGTGCTTTCCAACAGTTAGAAGTTTTTCTTATATTGCTTTGCTGAAAACTGCCCCCAGCACTCGAGGTGAGGCTGCCCCAGGGCAGAGCAGAGCAGAGCAGGATAATCCCTCCCTTGCCCGGCTGGCGATGCTGTCCCTGATGCCCACAGGACAAGGGTGGCCCTCCTGGCTGCCAGGGCACTGCTGGCCCATGTTCAACTTGCCATGGACCAGAACCCCAAGGCCCTTTCCATGGCACTGCTGTCCAGCCTCTCATTCCCCAGGCTGTCTGTACATCCAGGGCTGCTCCATCCCAGGAGCAGAACCCAGCACTTTCCCTTATCCTTGATGGTTGGGAATTGCCCAGACCTCTCTGCAGGGCCTCCTGGCCAGAGTCAGCAGCTCCTCCCAGTTTTGTGTCACTGTGAACTTTGCATCCCTCCCAGTCCTGCACCCAATCACTTAAGAAGATGTCAAAGAGCAGAGAGTCTAAGGTGGAACTCTGTGGAACCCCCCTAGTGACAGGTCACCACTCTGATGTCACCCCACTCACTGTAACCCCTTGTGCCTGACCTGTGACCAGCTGCTCTCCCATCACCTGATGTGTTTATCCACCCATGTGCTGGACATTCTGTCCAGTAGGATACTGAGGGAGATGGTATTGAAAGCTTTACTGAAACCTAAATGATCACATCCCCTGATTAACTAGGCAGATTACCTTGCAATAAAAAAAATCAGGTTTGATAAGCAGGAATTTCCTCTCATGAAGCTGTGCTGGCCATGATCAAAGACTGTGCTGTCTTTCAGGTGTTTTTCAATACCTCTTAGAATAATCTTCTGCATTACTCTACCAGGTACTGAAGTGAGACTGCCAGGCCTGTGGTTCCCAGGCTCATCCTTCTTGCATGCCCTTCATTCACAGGTTATGCAATTTGTGGTGGGATTGTGTTCAGGGCTATAGAGTTACTGCCACTGACTCCTAGGTTCCTTAGCTTATGGGGACCTGTAGTGCTCCAGGGAACTACCTGCTCTTCTCAGTTACTGCTACAGTAGGGTATGAGGAGATGGCTATATCAGCTTAACAGTAACTTTGCATGCCATAATGTCTGACACATTTGAAATGTTGCTGGGTAACAGTTAAAGACTTTATATCTTTTTGATTATTAATGATGTATATACTACACTCAGCACAAGATACCTTCCTTAAGGTTTTAGTGTCTCTTGGAGGTAAAGTTCAGTAATATGCCTTTTTGCAGCTTGCTCAGAAATAAAGCTAATAGCCTTTAATATCAAAACTTGGGCTGATGGGAGCCTGAAATACAAGCACAGAAATATAATGAAGCAACAAGGTTCACCTCAGCTTGGTCCAATGGCTCTGCTCTAATATGGTTCTGTTTAAAACATCTTTTTCTATAATAGCTGACCCTTTGACACTCCCTTGCAGCCACCCCACTGAGGTCAGGAGACAGGGTGCAACAGGGAATATGTCCAGGGGCAGATCCCCTTAGCTTCACTCTTCCTTTTTTCCCAGTCTTGAAGGCTTGCTACTTCCCCATGTAGTCTTATGAATAGACATTTTCTCTCCCTAAAATTGCCCCTCTTCCTTGCTTGTAAGGAGAAGCAACTACCTGGATACCAGAGATCTTAACAACTACAGACAGGGGCCAAGAACTGCCACCTTGGTTGTAACAGGTGCTCATGTTTTAAGCTCAGTTTCAGAAAAAGTTCATCTCTTCAAAATAATCCTTGTAAGTGAAAGTGAGGGACAAGAGCTCAGCTTGCTGCCTCTCATCTGGCAAAGTGCTTTTGGAGCATCTGGAGACCTGCTCTCCATCAGAATGACCTAATTCTACATACACCCATATTGATCTGATCTGCGTCATCATCGGTTCAGTGTTCATTAATGCAATTGGGTGCAGAAAGCTTTCAGAGGAAATAGATGAAGAGAGGGAATAATATATGCTGTACTCTTAGAGTGGGAGTGAAATTAGATTATTTTTGTGCTATTCAGTTGAAACCTACTCAGTGACATTTTAGAAAGGTTATGTGCAAAGGCCCTTCCTCTCTCCCCCTCCCATTCCTACTCCCCTTCTTCTCTTTCTCTTTCTTCTGCTCCTTGTCATTGTTGTTGTCTTCCTCCTCCTCATCCTTCTCTGCACAAGGTAGTGGTGGTGATGGTGTGCAGTGAAAGGTACATCTCCACGCAGCCTCTGCCTCTGGCAGACAGCAAAACCCCTCCTGCCACCAGACACATTGGCATTCTGTTTGGCATGGCAGTACAGGCCAGCAGTTTCTCCCACTGAGGGCACAGGGCATTGTGTGAACCAAGGAATAATTCTTCTCTTAATTTCAATGTTGTAACTGCAAATCTTCAGTGGCATAATTCCCACTTTATCTGTGTGAGTGAAAGATAGCACAAGTGCTGAATTAATTTCACAGATTTCACACTGTGTTGAGGATAAGGTGGTCCACAGAGGAGGAACAACCTCCTAGTACATCCCC